TTAATATTATATGTTTTAGTTAGTAATAATTTTGACTAGTTATGATATATAATTAAATTAATTTAGCATATATTAGGAGTTAATTTCACACTGATTACGCCAATCTGCCCATTTTCGTATCCGACATGCTTCTACAATTCCTTCATAGGGAATTTGACTAATTTGACAATTTTCAATATCACTTATGACATATCTATCGTTTGGCAATATCTTTTTAACGATATATGGTCCTTTGTACTTTTTGGTACAAACTTTTTGTTTGTACCAATTGTGGTGTCAATGTTTCGCATTACAACAAAATCGCCTTCCTCAAATTATATATGATCTTTATGATTTTTTCTTGAAAATATTCTTTGCTCCTTTTCTGGCACTGTTCTATTTTATCTGAAGAATTCTTACGCACATTTTCTAAATTACTCTGTGGTATATCATTTCTATCATCAAAGTATTCTGTTAATGCGTCAATATTGCAACCTCTCTGCTGAACTCCAAATAATAATACTGAGGGTAATTCCTTTGTAGTTGAATGCATTGAATTATTAATGGCATATTCGGCCCTATCTAAAAGTTTGCTCCAGTCTTCATGCTTAATTGGTTCAGTTATCTTGGCCAGCATCGCTTTTATTGTCCTATTTACTCTCTCCACCTGTCCGTTCGCTTGAGGTGACGCAGTTGCTACCTTAACGTGTTCGATATTATTTTCTAATAAAAATTTGGCAAATTCTAATGACGTAAAACATGTACCTCTATCACTTACAACTCTACGTGGTCGACTATAGTATTGAAAATATTTCGAAAAACACATGTTGACTTCTTTTGTACTCGTTGAATTCACTGGATACAACTTAACAAATTTGGTAAATCCATCAATAATTACTAGCAAATGTTTCTTTTTCGATATAACTGAAGGTAAAGGTCCAAAATGGTCTATGTGTAATGTATCAAACGGAATTGGTCGCTTAGGTATATTATGAAGTGTTCGATTATTCGCATGTGTGGGTACCGTAAACATGATACACTTTAAGCAATTTCCAATAAATGCATCTATTTTAGCTTTCATGTTCGGAAACCAATAGTGTCTCATTATTTCTTTTAAGCACTTCTCGGAACCTAAATGACATAAATTTTCATGAACCCTCCTTATTATATGGGATTCCATTTCAGCTGGTACATATAGCAATTCAATATCATTCTCACCTAATCTATAAACAATTCCATCGCTTAATATAAAGTTCTTCACACTTCCTTGTTCTAATTGTTCTTTCAATTTCACTATAATACTATCTCTATTTTGCGTTATCTGAAGCTGAAGGTTGATGTCGTCACTGTCAATTACTGAAACTATTTGATCTTTGTTGTCACTATTTTGGATATTCACTACTGGTTCATATTCAAAACTCTCATTTAAGGCTGAAGGGTATCTACTTAATGAATCAACATGAGTCATATATTTTCCACTACGATGCTTAAGGGTATAATTGTAATTAGCCAATTCTAAAGCCCATCTGGCAATGCTCGAGTTAAGGCGTCCTTTCCCTAGGCACAAAACTACTGCATTACAATCTGTTACTATGTTAAACGGAATTCCTTCTAAATATATTCTGAATTTTCGTAATGAATAAACTACAGCTAATGTTTCCAATTTAAAGCTTTCATATCTAGCTTCTAGTTTTGTTGCTCTTTGTGAAAAATAGGCTATTGGGTGAAACTTATTATCATCCTGCTTTTGCAACAAAATTCCTCCAAATCCCTCGCTACTTGCGTCGCAATGCAATTCAGTCTCTCGATTTGGGTTGTACAAGGATAATATGGGAGATGAAATTAATTTGTCACGAAGATATTCAAAAGTTTTTATACAATCCTCACTAAGTTCATACTTAACACCTGATTTTGTGAGCTCTTGCAATGGCTTTGCTATTTTTGAGTATGCCGGAATAAACCTCCTAAAGTAAGAAAATAGTCCTAAACATTTCTGCATTCCATGGCGATCTTTTGGTATCGGAAGATGTTTAATAGTTGATGTGTGCTCATAATTCGGACTTATTCCTTTTTCACTCAGTGTATACCCTAAAAATTCAATGCTTTTGTAAGCGAACTGGCACTTATTTATTTTAATTTCCAATCGGTACTCTGCTAAAATTCGTAATACTCTTCCTACAATCTTAAAATGTTCGTTCAATGTTTTCGAGCCTATAGCAATATCGTCTATATAAACTACTACATTTCCTTCGCGAATCAAAGGTTGTAGAATAAAGTTAATAAATCTCATAAATACTGCGGGTGCATTCATGAGTCCGAAAGGCATTCTTGTATATTCATATTGACCGGAAGGTGTTACAAATGCTGTATACTGCACGGAACTTTCTGCTACTTTCACTTGATGATATCCATTTTTCAAATCTAACAATGTAAAATACTTATTTCCTTCTAATCTCTCTAAGCAGTCATCTATGAGGGGAAGGGGGTATCCGTCTCGAACGGTTATCTTATTAAGTTGTCTATAATCTACACACATACGCTTTTCTCAAGATTTTTTCTTAACAAGAACGATAGCGGAACTATAGGGTGAATTGCTTTCTCTTATGAATCCTTTTTTCAATAACTCATCAATTTTTGAATCTACTTCTTTCTTCTCCTGATACGACAGTCTTCTTGGTACAGTGCGTACCGGTTCTTCAGACTTAAGTCTTAGCCTCATTTCATAACTATGTTGGATCGCTGGGATGTTAGATAAACATAAGTAATTCAATCTTATTATTTCACTGAGTTCGCTTCGATCTTCATCACTTAACTTCGGGTCAATGTCAAAACTTTCATCATCCTGAAATACATCAATACTATATATATACGGAATGCTGTCGTCACTAACTATTTCATTTTCTATATACAACTCTTCAAAATCTCTACTGCTTTCTAAATGGTCACTGTCTCTATATGTTTCACTATTCTGAAGTCTATTTATTGGTTCAATACTCACTATTTTCAATGGTTCACTATCCTTAAATAAATTCACTTCTACAATTTCTTTTACCTTATCCTTAGAAATCAATTTTATTCCAAATTTCTCAAAAAACTTACGGCCTAACAGAACATTAGTTGAAACATAATTATTGGGTACAACAAAAAATGAAATTTCTTCTTCTATGTTTTGAAAAACGAGCCTGACAAAAATTTTTCCGAATGTTTTAATTTTAAATCCATTAACTCCATAGTAATTCGTCGGGACCAGTATATTACTAAAGTTTTTATAAGGAATCGCAGAGTGCTGAATTAAATTAATGGCGCTTCCCGTATCGAACATGGCAGACAGAAGAGTTACGTTAGGCTTATGTTGGCAATCAGTGTAAAAATATACTCCTACCTGGTTAAAAATCGGAATAAACATATTAGGCTCCTCTTCGTCATCTCGTATCGGCTGGTTGTTGGCTGCTCCCACCACTCTCGGATCACTTGCTGGCTTCTGCTGACAATCCTTTAGCATATGTTGGAGGGATCCACAACGGAAACAAGATCCCTTCTCGCGTTTCGGCGCAGTGCACGACGAAGCGTAGTGCCCATAAGCAGAGCAATTGTAGCACCGGACTGTTTTCCGATCTCCTCCAGTATTTTCCATGCGTTGAGGAAAATTGTGTGACTTCTTCCTTAGATTGCCATACTTCCAAGCCAATTCCTTCAATTGTGCGATTGTTGTTGCTGTGTACAATATAGCGATATTGGCTGAACGATCGCGAAAACCATCAATGACGAACTGCACTGTCAATTTTTCGTCAATATTTGCACGCATAGCAATTTCCTCCATCAGAAGTATGTATCCCATAACGGTGTTCTTCGCGGGGTTGAACATGGTTTCCTTAAGTAGCAATACAATATCAGCAGTTGAGCTTCCACGACCGAATGTTTTTATGAAATTTGTCTTAAATTCGTCGTAAGTGTTCGATCGATCAACACTCACAAACAAGTCGGCATCTGTACCCGATTTCATCAACATTCGTACGCAGCGCAGTTGAAAATTTGTACATGTGTTGATATCTCTGCAGACTCTCTCAAAATTCAAAATCCACTTAAGGGCTTCCTCATTTTCAGTAGCAGAAAACGGGCTCACGAGGTGCTTCACCATTTGGAGGTCATCTGTCGTTTTGTCGACGTTTTTCATCAATCCGGCAAATATTTTCTTCTTCTCAGCAACCCTTATGGCGGCGTCAAGCAGTGCTTCTTCTTCTTCCAATGTCTGGATGCCTTCGGTAGCGGCTCCTTGGCTTAATACTTCCATTTTGGAGTTCTGCTCCTCTAATACTTTCTGGGATTTCAGCCACTTCTTGGTATCCAGCATCAAAGCGAGCTTGCACAATTGCCTTAAAAGTTGCACTTGCAGGGAACTCGATTTCGTTGGCTTGTAGCCACTCACCAATTTGTGTCTTGTCCATTTCAGAATGGCGTCGTAATTATACAAGCGGAAAAAAATGTGTGCTCTCAGGTATGGCTATGTAGGCGAATGTATTAATGGGACTATCCCACTTCTGAAGTTGTTGACGCAGGTTTATATTATTTATTTCAATTCTTGAGTTTTATTTTTATTTAATTGCTGTTCAGCTTAGCTTTTTCACGTCTGCTTCCAATTGTCTCTCTTAATTCAAGTGTTACCCTATTCTGATCTTCACATAGTCCTTACTACTTATTCTACATTATTGGAACATCGGAATGGAACATAAGTGTTATTATTATTAAATTATTAAATAGTCACATCTTATATCCACTTGATCTATACAGCTTCCAATATACTGCTAACAAGATATATTTTTTTTTTACTAACAAGTGCCCATTAAGTGGAAGTACAGGCACAATAAGTCTGCAATAAAACTATTATTAACATGTTCTAATAAGTGCATCGCAATGTTATTAGCGGCTGTCGTGCATTTTTGAAAGGAATCAAAAAAAGGCTATTGGATCAGAAAGATGACGTTGGAAATCAATCCTAGTAATTCCATTAGGCACAAAGAAATTGGGTTGACCCAGTAGCTCGGGGATGAGCAATGAATGAGGCCAACATTGTAGTGTCATAACCCCATTATAACACTACATTGTTAGCCTCCTTCCTTGCTCATTTTTTTAACTATACGATTTAACTAAAGTACGAGCAGGCCAAACGTACGACGATTCCAATGAACAATGAATGAAGAAAATTGACAGAAGCCGATACCCGATAGTAAAATACTAGAAGGAATATATTCGATAGAGTAATGTATACTTTCTTAGGACCTTCAATTGTAAAAAAATCGAATCTGTTTTGATGATGTTTTTTTTTAAAACATCCACGAAAGGTTTCAAAAAAACCTCGCTTCCATATTTGTTTGTTTAGAATAGGCAGCCACAAATAAATTTGGAAAGTAGACGCTGCAGTAGTACGGGTGTTATACACCCACAAACGTAATCAACGCCTGCGTGAATTGAAAATATAAACAAAATTTCGGTAAAACAATATTGTATTCGAAGTGAGTGACCCTTTCTTTGAAATAACTTCATTTACAAAATGAATTATATTCATGAATGGCCTTATATTTTTATACCCTTGCAGAGGGTATTATAATTTCAGTCAGAAGTTTGCAACGCAGTGAAGGAGACGTTTCCGACCCTATAAAGTATATATATTCTTGATCAGCATCACTAGTAGAGTCGATCTAGCCATGTCCGTCCGTCTGTCCGTCCGTCTGTCCGTCCGTTTATATGCAAACTAGTCTCTCAGTTTTAAAGCTATCTGCATGAAACTTTCCCAAAAGTTGTCTTTCTATTGCAGGTAGTATATAAGTCGGAACGAGCCGGATCGGACGACTATAGCATATAGCTTCCATAGGAACAATCGGAAAAATAATTGAAAAAAATATAACTTTGCTGTTTTTTAATTTTTTGTTTAGTTCTTCGACATATAGCAATGGTTAAATATTTCAGAATTATGGTTTAAATTTCATCAAAATCGGACGACTATAGCATATAGCTCCCATAGGAACAATCGGAAAAATAATTGAAAAAAATTATAACTTTGCTGTTTTTTAATTTTTTGTTTTGTTCTTCGACATAAAGCAATGGTTAAATATTTCAGAATTATGGTTAAAATTTCATCAAAATCGGACGACTATAGCATATAGCTCCCATAGGAAAAATCGGAAAATAATTGAAAAAAAATTGTAACTTTGCTGTTTTTTAATTTTTTGTTTAGTTCTTCGACATATAGCAATGGGTAAATCATAATTTTAATGTTTTCAAAAATATTTAATTCTTGCGATAGCTGCAAGGGTATATGAACTTCGGCTTGCCGAAGTTTGCTTTCTTTCTTGTTTAATGTGGTCTTTGTTTGTACTAAGAATACTGCAGCAGGCAGATCGAAAAATTTATATGATGCCGCCTTTTATGTTGTTTTTCATTATTGATGTTAAATACAGTATGCATTTCAAAACATATATTAGTACTCAACTACGGATGTCGTCTAAATCTACAATTATATCATATTCAACATTGTTGTCGCTTGAAGTAATTATATGTACCCTTTTGAGGTGGGCCCTAAATCTATGGAAGGAGTACTGTTGGTCGCAATTGACTTCGGCATACTTACAGATATATACAGTGGGCAAATCCAGCTTACGAACATTTTATATGAAGATTAAGTGCAAAGTGTACGTAAACTTTTTGTGCCCATTCTATCTAATTCCTTTAAACGATGTTGATGCTTTAAATAACATGATAAATAATAATACCTTATTATTTAAGATAAAAATTAATAATCTTAAAAATTAAGATTTGTAAAGCAATTAATTTGTCGGATCAAAAAGTGGACGGAAAAAAACAAAAATACTCCGAAAAATGTTCAACAATAATAAAATGTTGACGACAAAATATTCCCGATTTATTCAAATGCCACTGTTGTTGAACGCGCCCCAAAATAATTCTGAAAACATTTATAAAGATTGTTATTCATAATTTTAAAGTGTTAAATATTACATATACATAGACAGTATATATATTTGTAGGCTGGCGGGCTTATTTTGAACTGGTTTCTGTTTGTTAATAAGCCCATCAGACTGACAGTAAGACAATAAGAGCAAAGCTTTTGTCACACTAGAAAGAATAAACGCTGGCGTATCCCGATTTATTCAAATGCCACTTTTGTTGAACGCGTCCCAAAATAATTCTGAAAACATTTATAAAGATTGTAATTCATAATTTTATATTATTAAGTATTACATATACATTGACAGTATTGACAATGATTAAATATATTTGCAGGTTGGCGGGCTTAATTTGAATTGGTTTCTGTTGGTAAATAAGCCCATCAGACTGACAGTGAGACAATAAGACCAAAACTTCAATCACACTAAAAAAGAATAAACGCTGACGTAACTATTCGTCAATCTGAGTACGCCGGTTATTTGCCTCTAGCTCTCTCTCATAGCTGGCGTACGGATTTTGTCGATCTGAGTACTAGGCTTAAAGCCTAGGCTTAAAAAAAATACCAGAAAATTGGAAAGCGTTGCCAGATTTCTCTGGCATAAAAAATTTAATTTCTTTGAGGTTTGAGTTGGACCAAAAAATGAACGAAAAATCCCAAAAAACTCAGCAAAATATATTCTAAAATAATACAATGTCGGCGATTAAACATTCCCGATTCTTTTATATGCCACTTTTGTTGAACCGGTCCAAAATATAGCTGAATAAATTTATAAAGAATGTTATTCACAATTTACATTGTTAAATATTACATATTCATTTCCAGTGATTAAATATAGTTGCAAGCTGACGGCCTAAGCTTGAATTGTTTTCCGTTTATATAAACGACGCCAGAGTTAAATTTGGTATTATAATGGTGGCAGGTACGCGTCTTTTTCGTGTTTTTGCCGTTTTTCCCTCCATCAACAACACCAACGAATAAATTTTTTATTCTTTTCGCCAGGGCCTGATAAACATTCATCGAGAGTTTATCCCAGACGTCTGGCAACATTTCTAGTATTGTTTTCGTCGATCTGAGTACCGACGTGCAAAAGGCAATGTGGAAAGTTTTTCTCGTTCTCTCTCATATGCGGCGAACGGTTTTCGTCGATCTGAGTACTAGGCTTAAGAAGAAAACTTCTGTTACACAAGAAAGAATAAATTATTTGCGCTGGCGTAACTGTTCGTCGATATGAGCACTAGGTTTTAAGGGGGGAAGTACCCGAAGACGTTTCAAAAAATTGATTTTATTTTATTGTCTTAATCAATAAGAATTAGCTTATTCTGGCATAATTTTAAAAGCCTATCTTAAAAATTATGGAAGATATGGTACTTGACAGTTTTTGGCGCTTAGGTTCCTTTTTTTTTGACCGTAAACTTTAAACGGCATTTTTTCAAAACCATGTTTTTCGTATTGGCGTAAAGAATTGCAAAATAGTATTGAACCGATTTTCTTAACATAGATTTAGATATTCCGGTGTGATGGTCTTATAACCGCGTGCAAAAGGATGAATACAATTCAGACTATTGAGCCTACGATAATAAACAAAATAATATTATAAGACCTACGCCCAGAAAAAAGTAGAACGAATAATTTTAGCACGAACGTTCTTGAAAATCGGCCGAATAATTCTTAAAATTTTTAGGACGAACGTGTACAGAATAATACTTGATAATAATATTTTGAAATTTTTTTTTAATACACAGAGGAAATATATTTTATAGCTTTAATTCTGATTATAATGTCTATAAATAATATCAGAATTATAAAAAAAAAACATTTAAATCTATAAATTAAGCATTGTTTCACTAGCAGTCGTACGATTATACGTTAGTTTTATACAATCGAGCACATTTGTGTATATCGATACACACCAGTGCTATCGGTCGATATCTTTGGGCTAATCGATCGCAAAGCTGCCTTACTTTAAAAACATCGCGTAAAAACAATGGAAAGAAAATCGCCCAATGGTTTAAGTTTACAGAATGTTATGCGTGGCGCAGTGTTGGTAAAATGTTAAATGCAACCGTGTGTGGTTGCTACATAATTTCAGTTACGTTAAATTCAAATTCAAAACTTAGAATTATAACAATAGATCTCCTCCGACAAGCGCTTTACCGTTCCTTTTTGTTTTCTATTCCTCTTTTTCGGAACTCAGTGCGGTACAGTTGCAATTTTTTTCTTAGTAAAAAAGAAGGAGTTAAAAAGAACTGTAAATTCGCGTGCACATATGTACATGCATACGTTTGCTGTTTGTTGCTGTTTTTTTTAGTTCGTGTATTGGTATTTGCTTCTTAGA